AAAACAATGTAAATTACGGACAATGCACAGTTTACTGAATCGCATAGAAAAGCGAGCAGATTTCGTAATATGCTGGGCCCAGTTTTATAATGGACGTTTAGCACTAACCAGTGGATAAGTCTTACCAGTGGATAAATTCTCCTAACACCCATTAACTTGTTTCATAAACAGTGTTCAAACAGCCAAATTGTGTTTCATAAACAGTGTTCAAACAACTAACGGACTGTTTAAACACTGTTTATGAAACACAATTTCATCCATCGTTTAGTTAGCGGGGTTTATAGTCTAAGAAAAAATGGTTTAACCCGGGACTAATTGCAAAAAAATTGTAGTATGGTTTTTTTGAGTCTTTGAGTGGTCCATATGATCATATTAAAAATCTAGAAAAATCCAAGTAGTGGAAAAGGTATTTTTTGGGGAAAATCAAAAATGGCCGCCAGCACAGAGATCTACAGTTAGTAGGTGCAAATTTGCTCCACCTGGTTTCAACAAAAGCTTGTTAAAATGGTACAAAATCCATAAAGGGATGTTGTGCCACTTCTCTCCAATTAAATCAAATGCAGATAGCCTCAGCAAAATACAAAATGGCCGCCAAAACTAAAATGGCGGCTACAAATTACCAAATTTGAAGTTAAAAATTGAATAAAAAATAAGCTCAAAAGTACATTTATGGTCTTTTACCACTTTCTGTTGTTGTACTAGATTGGCCAGGACATAAAGACTTAAATAAAATGATTTTAAAGGAACTCTTTATCCAATTCATGCACCAAGATAAACTTGCCTGAAGTAAACAACATCATTTCCTACTTAAAATGTATTGCCATCCTGTCCCTACACTTAGTTCAATGTCTTATTCCATTTGAATCTTAGTTAAAAATAACTGACCAGTCAATTAGTGCCTAACTGTCTTCACCAGGGATGACCTAGATTTCACTTCAAAAACAAGAAAATGACATTGCGAGCAATTATGGCTTTGGGACAAGGCTCAGAAGATTATGATCATATGATGTGCGCTTCAGATAAACTTTCATTATTTAAATGAAATATGGAGGTCTGCATCACCTGAAACTTGGATTACTTTAACTGCAACACCTCCCAACTTCTCACCAAGGAAATAAATGAACCTGTTTGTTTTATTTGTTGGTAAGAATTTTTTTCTTTTCCACTCTACAGCTTCGTCTCATCTGTGAAGACAATAGCTGTGCTCATACTGTTAATTGGATCTAACTAGGTGTGCAGAACCATAGCTTAGTAGAGGGGACATCCAAGATGATCCCTTTATAATGCTACACTATAGCTCTCCTATATCTCCCTGGTGTGTGATGAAGAAGCGCCACACCATCTAAAATGTACTGGACCTCACCTTCACTTTCAAACCCATCTGACTATATTGCCTGTTCTAGCAAAGAGGAAATGTCCATAAATTGTACCCTGAACCTTGCAGTTCCTTGACTTTTCAAAGTGGTTTTCTCAACAGCCAGTTGCTGGTCTGTCTTTGTCAAAAATTCACTCTCTCCCACATGTGATGTTACCATGGTCCAAAGAATGGAGATCTGGTTGTCGGCTCTGTCTCCATCAATTGGAAATCACCCAGACAATGCATGCATGTACCTTCAATGTCATCTGTGCACTGTGTTTCACTGTGCTGTGCTTCTTGTTTTGAGCAACAGTGGCTGGCACATTATACCGCAAAAGCTTGAAGATGAGAAGTGCAATGAGGGATAGATCAAGTAATAGCTGGACCCTCATTGCCCTAGCCAGAGCATTCCCTGGGAATCATGTGACTTACTGTATTGACAGCAAATATAGTTTCAAGAAGTTCTCAAAGTCCTGATCCTGTCATGGGTTGACATATGCACTAAAGGTAGCTCATCTCTGTGTGGAAGCCAACAAGCCTTGCAACTGGAGATGGTAGTATATTGGATTCTTGTTCAGTAGTCTGGTCCTTCCTCCACAGTGGTTGATTAAAGGTAATTATTGGGGGTTGCTCTGAACTGTTGAACGCGTGAATAAATTAAATTCAATGTGGGGTAGATGCATGACAGTTCTTTCTGTAGATCTATATTTATCAGAGAAAGAGACATAACAGATGCTTTTGCTGGGTGATTCCCTCTAGTCACCATTTGCCCATGTAACCATTACATAGCTGTTTGGGCTGTGGCTGGAAAGCAGGTAAGGACAGTTTCCAAAAAATGGTTTCTGATAAGATCTTATTCCTAGATATTGGGTTTTTCCATGTTGGTGAATGTGGCAACAAATACTCCAGGATTCTGTCCCTTGTGTGGCCCTGGAGCCCCTCTCATATCTTACTATTAGGAGTACGAGCAACAGAATCCATTCAATTAGGAATCTGTTTCCAAAAAGTTTATGCAGTTGGACACTCAAACCTATTTGGACAGGCCAGCAGTACATTTGGCCTGGCTGATTATATGATTACTTGTCCAATTGATGCAACATTTCAGTCTGTCTTAGACTGGGTTCCCATAGATTTAGATCAATCTATCCGGATCGACCTAACTCCTTGGGGGTTCATGCTAAATTGCTGTCAGGTTCCGAGAGCCGAGCGCGCACAAAAGTTAATTACCCCCTAACAGCTTTTAGTAGGCAGGACAGACATTTAAGTTGGTCAGGCTGACAACAATCTAGTGAGACTACCCACGGGGATAGATTGATCTAAAAATCTATAGGCATGTACTCTTCGAAAAAAGACTCATATTGTGTTTGGTGCCACTTTTAACTGTACAACTTTTTACCTCCATTACTTATTCATCAATATATTAAGAAAGGGGGGTAAAGACACAATCTTGAGTGGAATATTTACTGAAGACAGCCTTATGAATTATCTTGCTGACAGCCATATTGGAAAATACTTAGAACAGGTACATAGATGGGTATAATAAATAAATAAATTAAAAAAAACAAGTGTTTTTCATATATCATATATTTATGATATTAGCAAAGAATTATTTGTTCCCGGCCAGAATGAAAAGAAGTCTTATCCTTATTTGTCTAATTTTTCACACTTAGACTCATATTTATCCTAAAGAGCCATATTTGAAGCCAAATCTCACAGAGTTGTTGTGAATGAAATAATGATTATATTTAACACCCAAACAAATTCAATTGCCTTCAAAAACAAGGCAAAAACATAACTTGCAATTTTAGGCAACACTTTAGGGAAAATCTGTACAAATGGTCTTTGCCTGAACTTTGACTCAAGCCAGTGACCTTTAGTGAATAATTCCTATTAAATAAGCTTTTTTCAGTGAATATGTCATTTTCTTTAACTTTGTGTGTATTTCGAGGTTTTACCTCCATTTATTTCTAGCACAATACTATCTAAATTAAACAACACCATTTACTTACAGTGACGCAATATAATGGCGGCCATCTTGGAAAAGCTGCCTTAAAAACCTTTTTTCACTACTTAGATTTTTCTAGATTTTTATTATGTTTAAATTTGGATATTAAGCTTTCTGAAATACCTCATTACATTTTTTGAAATAAGTCCCTACTGAAAAAAAAACGTTCAAAAAATTATGTCTTATAAAACCTTATGAATGCACTTACTGACCGCCATATTGAAAAAATGCATTGAACCGGAACGTAAATGGGTGTAAGAAGAACATGTAAAAAAAAACAAGTGTTTTCTATATATTATATGACATTTACATAGAAATCTTTGTCCTCAGAATGAAAAGAAGTCAATATTAATTACCTACCCAGCCACTTATACATAATTTTTATCCATCTGATTTTTCACAATTTGTCTCATATTTCTCCTAAAAATACATATATTTTGCAGCCAAACGTCATAGATTTGTTGTGAGTGATGTAATAATTGTAATTAACACCAAAAGTTTCAATAACCAATCTTTAAAAACATTTATTGCAAACTTTTAGGCAAATTTTCATGTTAAAAATCTGTACAAATGACCTTTGCCTGACCTTTGACCCCAGGCCAGTGACCTTTGGTGAATAATTCCTTTTAAGTAAGCTTATCTTTTCAACAAATTATTCTTTGTCGACAACTTTGTGTATATTTCAAGGATTAACCCCCATTCATCTTAGCAAAATACCACCTAAATTAAAAGACACCATTTACTTACAGTGATGCAATATAATGGTGGCTATCTTGGGAAAGCTCCCTTAAAAACCCTTTTCCACTACTTAGATTTTTCTAGATTTTTATTATGTTTTAATTTGGATATAGAGCTTTCTAAAATCCCTAATTACAATTTTTTGCAGTAAGTCCCTACTGAAAAAAAATGTTAAAAAAATTAAGTCTTATAAAACCTTAAGAATACCCTTGCTGGCGGCCATATTGGAAAAAAGGAATTGAGCCTGAACATAGATGGTTGTAATAAGAAAACGTAAAAAACAAATGTTTTCTATATATTATCTGACATTAACATATAAATATTTGTCCCCAGAATGAAGAGAAGTCAACATTTAATACCTACCCTATACATTTATACCGTACTAGGATTAAGAATGTGTACATTTACCCTGTGGACCATTTGAAGATTACACTGCGATTAATGCGGTGGAAAATACAATAGAGAGAGTGTATAATGATAGGGTCGCTAAACGATTGTTGACGGCATATAGTAACTAGCCTAATCCCCTGGTCGCCTGGGTAGCCACGCCCCCTTAGAGTACTTAGGTAAAAAAAAAACGGTCTCCCGTAGCGAACTATCCTTTTGTTCAACAGCTTCGCGCGTGCAGCTGATTATGTATGTGGTGACACTATAGCTAACTGCATATAAATTTGTGCTAGCTGTTATTTGATTCATTCTGCTGTGTCGGATGTTGTGGATCAGCCCATTGGTTCGTTGACTTATGTTTTTCTGAAGATTGGTGGTGCAGATTTTGAGTGCTTAATTATTTACCCTCCTTCTAACAAGAGAAAGGGGAAGGGAGATAAAAAGAGAGAGTGTCAAATGAAACGGGTAATGAGTAATACATTACATTAAATAAAGGGACTCGCGGTGGAAGAAACGATAGACTGTTTTGCATCAAGGTCTGCCATTACCCCCTGTAGCCCTTTATACACTGTATAATGTCATCTTGACCGCGGATCCTCCTATTGGTTAACAGAAGGACTAACACTCACTGATGAAGCCTCTTTAAAAGACAACAAAGCCGAGAATTATGCGGAAAAAGAGAAACCATTTGTAACTTTAATTACATTGGTCCATTTTGGGTGGTTAAAGAGAACCTTGATCTCAAAAAACTGTAGTTATACATCCAGATAAAAATATTATAAGACTTAAATGAATATTCATTCTTGTAACAAATGCAGGGGAACGTTCCTTTGTGAATTTAACGCCAACAATATGGTGTAGCTCATTAGGCATTTTTAAACATCACAGAATGGCACATTTTACAGCCTAGCAAAGTTCGGAAATCATATAAAAACTTACTACTTAATATGAAATATTATGTTTGGCGGTTAAATTTTCTACAAATTATATTTTCTCTTATTGTTTTAAATGCAAAAATGAGGTGTCACTCCATGTGTAGCCAGGTGTGTTACCTAATTACCACACAACTCCCGAAACAATTGATGCATGCATTGTATGTTCGGTGGTCAGAATTGTGAGGGGTGGTCTTTTCGGCAATTTCTGCCCTTGCATAAAAACGTATGGGTTTGGTCAATCTTTGGAGTGTATTAAGAGAAGCAACAAAGGGGTCGCTCTGAAACTTGACAGGTACCTTAGAGAAGATATGGTTCGACAGCTAAGCAACACAGCTTACTATGGGATTCTTGCTCTCAGAGAAAATGACCAGAAACGGACAGTCACTGCCAGGCAATTCAACATTTATCAGGGACCGTTAGTCAAGTCCTCCAAAGAAATGCTACAACAGGGGCACCTTCTCCAAACCTCGACAAGGGTGTCCGCGTATCACACCAAGAAGACAGGATCCCCTTCTTCTTGCCGTGCTGGTCGTACAAAGACAACCAGTGACCTCAGAAAAGAGTGGCAGAATGTCATTCAAACGCACGTTTCAAGGTCCCTCGTGAACAAGAGATTACTGCAAGCCGGTTATTTTGCACGAGGACCAGTAGAGAAACCACTGTTAACAGCAATTCATATACAGCGACGTCTGCAATGGGCTGTGGACCACGTGCGTTTGCAGCCAAAACACTGGAATCACATCGTTTTCAGTGATGAGGCCTGATATGGATTTTTCAGGTTGACGGTCGTATCCGTGTCCGCCGACGTGTACGAGAGGCATAAAACGATGATCGTGTACTAAAGGGGGCAAGCAGAGGGTGGTAATGTCTCTGTTTGGGGAGCATTTCATGCCGGTGCGCAGAACCAGTTGGTATTTCTAGGAGGCAACCTCAATCAGGATTCCTACAGAGACATTCTACAGCAAACAATGCTTCGATTTGTAAGAGTCATCTTCAGGAACAACTTTGTGTACCAAGACCACTGCGCAACACCTCATCGAGCTCGCAGAATCACCAATAGGTTCAGCAACTGCCCTGGTCTTCAAACTCCCCAGACATGAACCCAAGTGAAAACCTGTGGGCAAGGAACTCACAGAATCAGTAGCTATGGCCATCGGCAGGTAAAAAGTGATGAAATGCGACAGGCAAATATCACTGCGTGGAATGATATCCCAATCCAAACTCTAAAACTCTTGTCACAGGGTATGCCATGTAGGATGAGGGCGCTGCAAGCGGCTGCTGAAGGTCATACCCGCTATTGATGACTTTTCATGATTTAATTGAGTTAAAATAAGGGTGACTTGACTTACCTGAGAGCACGACGTCTCTAACCCCAGGTGAAGGTCCGTACTGTCAAAGCTGACTATGAGCGGTTGTCCATCAGGAACCGTTGTTTCCGGCGTGAGGCACATCTTATAGGAAGGAAGTGGTAGTGTCCGGTTGTAATATACGCCTGCTTTGTTGACATTAGATATCTGGACATTGTTCATTGCTAGATCACCACCAAAGCTTCTGAAGGAAACCCCGTTGCCCAAACTGGCCTCGATGTAACTATCATTGATTAACGCATGCCCAGCTATATCTCTAAGTAGAACGCCATTACCGATAACATTTGTTATATTGAGGTTTTCAAGCACAGGCGGGGTTCCAGAGACAGATATGGCTGCCGTATCGTTTGAGTGTGTCTCGATGTTAGGAAGACCGGCGAATTCAACGTCGACATATTGGAGATCACTTACTCCTGGTTCGGAGGAGTTAGTCACCAGCTGTATCCCAGACCAGTACTTGGCTGTTTCGTTGGCATCCCCGCGATATCCAGAGTAACCTGAACACTGCAGCCACACGTCTTGACTGTGAACTGAAAAACGACAGAATGTCATGCACGACATTTTAGAAAATGTTAACGAAAACAAAAAAAATCATGTCTGCACGTCCGCGATACAGGGTAACAACATCGGGACATGGGCAACATGGCGCCGATCTTGTGAGCATGCTTTCCGCTTAGAATATGCATTGTATATTGTTTTATATTCATACATTTTTGACAATGTAACATTAATCACATACAAAATTATTAGGAAAGAGTGCACTAAACTTCAAAGAGTTGGGAAAGCACGCTACGATCCTAAATCGGCTTTTTAACAGTGATGACATGAAACCATCTCTTGTGTGCACGCTTTCTGTTTATATAATATACATCGTACAGGGTATTTGCTTCATATTCATTAAGTGGGGAAAGTGTGACATTAAACACATAAAGAAATTATCAGGGAAGAGCACACTTAACTACACAGAGTTGAGAAAGCTCCCAGCTATCCTGAATTGGCGGTTAAATAGCGATGGCATGAAGTCGTTTTTCGTGAGTTACACGCCAAAAAGTGGGGACCGAGTATAGCTAATTTAATTAGTCTTATTCAATATTCATGTGACCGGGTCATAACTTCATCAATGGATATCTCCTCTATTTACGCTAAGTCACTGGGCCGAATCTGAATGGGGAAATGAAACTACACGCTAACTGTGGTTTCGTTGCCGAACGAGTCTGGAGGATACGAAACAGGATTGGGTTATAAGTACCCTTTCCCTTTGGGAATGGTATTTAAAACCACCACTAGAGGGACGCCTAGGCTGCGGGCTCGGGATTGGTCAGCTAGCTCACGTGGCGCATTCAAAATAATTGGCAGTTAGAGCCTGGCAGCCGTTAAAGCTGGACAGCGTGTAAGGGCGCTCGAGCCCATTTTGCTTCAATTAAAATCGGCTTAAGCATAAGCGTCGAAGATTTTCCCACCCTCCCGTCCCTCATATGGGCGGAAGGCGTCTCTTACATTGGCATTACACATTTTGCGTACATAATGTTAACTTAGTTTTTTTTGAACATTTGCGCTTAGTAAATGGGAATTTTGAACAGCTGCAATTAGTAATATTGCTACCTGTATCTAAGGGTTGCAAATCATTAACATACGGGTTGATGTACTTTGTTGAAGTAGTTAACGTTTACTGTAGTTATGTAATTTTATGTAAACTTTTATGTAGTTTTAATAAACTTTTAAGCCCGATAGTGGTTCCACCTGTGATTACACGCTCAGGTGACAGGATTCCTTACACAGTGTTGTTTAATGAAAAGCAGAGGGTATTTGAGGTATTTAAAATTCCGAAATTGAACGGTTTGTATAGTTCATGTCTATGGGAGATAATACTTTGTACTGAAGTTAAATACGGAAACGATAGTAACGCACAACAACCCGTTTTCTCCGCCCATCAAAATTTGCGACGAAGAGCAATTTTTGTTTTTCTTCTAATATGTGTGCCTTAAATGACCCCTGAAACGACCAAAAGACATGACAATGCTATTCTGAGAGCTTTCTTTTTCATAATATAAGCCTGCAAAACAGACTGGTATGCCTGTGTCCCATATTTAAGCGCTGTCATTTTCGGCTAAGAATTAAGAAGTTTTAAATACACAGCAATGTTTGGAAATATAAAATTGTTTGTTGTATACCCTTGCACCCCCGTTGTAATCCAACGAATAGGATTATTTTGACAGACTATTAAAAATAATCACCCACTGCTGTTACCCAGTATGGTGGACGTACAAAATATGAAAATGGTACTTTTATTTTTCAACTATAGAAAAGCACTCAGACAGCGCAGACCTCTGCCAAACACTGAGAAATCGTTGCACCAGTAGGTAGTTGCGAGCACGTTCATTGCACAAAGGGTCAAACTCATTGGCCGTATCTTGCAATGGTGAAGAACCTTTTTAAGACTCTTGGATCCAGATGATGAACCAGGTGATAGATTCCCACCAAAATCTAAACACTTATTTCATCAAAATCCATACATAACCTATTTAGCTAGCATATAGAATGTTTCATCATCCTTTTCTGAAATAGCTGACACAAAGTTAGGCGCGATGTACTTAAACACTATAGGGACTGAAAGCAATTTCAAAAGAGAACTTATATTTAAAAAGTTTTATTACTGGATTTTAAACTCTACTTTGTACTATATACTTATTATCTGAACATTTTAGCTGTTTATTTATTTTATTTTATTATTATTTATTTTGTTAATATACGCTTGTAAAGTCTACTGAACGTTAAATGGATTTTAGGTCGCCGTTGGTTTTCAGTCAGGCTTTACATGATGTCAGCAATAAATGATGGAGTGATATCGATCTTAAATAACGTTCTGGAGTATAATGCTTGACTTTGTTCATTAGGAAGAGGGGGTGAATAATAAATAACTCCATTAATAATAGTTAAAATTCGAATAAGATACTTTCTCTAACAGGGAGCTGATGCAACTGTTTTACAACCGGTGTCAATTTTCCCGGGCGTGAGAGTTATAAGGCGTGCCGAAATATTCTGAATCTGCCGTAAATTTTTGTCATCCATTGAGTAGCAGCCATCGAGTAGAGGGTTGCGGTAATCAAAACGAAAGATATCCACCGCATGTAAAAATGTTACTACAGAGGATTTATCTAAGTAATTTTGGATATCACTGATGTTCTTTTGTTAAAATACACAATAAAGGAATATTTGCTATTTGTCTATCCATAAAGAGTGAGGAGTCGAAGTCACACACAAGTTTTTCGTAACACTGGGCCCCGTCACTCGAAAGAATCGCGTATTGCGAATAGCGATATCACATAGAGGCTACAATGTATTATATGGGGCGAGTATGGGCGAATTATGGAACCGAGACGCTTGCGCTCGGTCGCAATGCTCGATACTTTCGAGTTACGGGACCCTGGAGGACTATTGGAAGTGTTTGATTTTTATTTTAAACCCATGTTTTGATGTTTCAAAATCTTGCACCCAGCGTCCAGACCAAAGTTGCTGAAGCGCAAACGCAAACTTCTCATTGCATGAGTGCATTATGATGGCGAGCAATTAAGAATCTAGATGGAATGTAGAATAAGTAGAAAAAAGAACGCACTGTCGCACCACTTTTTTACATTTTTCCTGAAGAGAAGCACAATACCTTTAAGACTTTATACTGATGAAGAATGCTGTCCCTATTCAAATCCAAGCAAATAATATGTAAAGAGATCCATATATAGAGAAGTAAAATTAACACATAGGCCTAAATATTACAACGTACTTACAGCAGTTGTGTACACGGACCCCATCATGACGGCAGTCCCATAGAGAGTCCTCGTGTCCATTACATCTCACGTTACTGAGTAGAATATTCCCAGTACCACCGCCTCTGTTATTTACTCTGGTACAATATTTATATCCCAGCATCCTAGCAGCAACTCTGGTGTTGTAGTAGGAGTAGTACCAGTGCGAGTTCCAGCCATTCTGACAAACGGTGCCGTAACTTCCTGAAATATACATACCCAGTATATACAAGAGTACAGATATACATGTATACATGGGTTAGTATTGAATATGGGAGAGAGAGAAAATTTTCCGAAACAATGCTCGGTGAAATGATTTTAAATGTTATTATTCACTAATCTACGACACCGCCACTGGCGCAGAGTAGTCCCAATAACCTACAGGGTACAACAATGTAGGTAATATCCCCACAGCACACATGAAAATATTACAGCCGGTAGTTTTGTATTCAACAACGTGGGCAACACCAAATAACAGCATAACACGAAATTCCACTAAAATTTACAAGATTTTTTTAGAAATTAAGATGTAAATTTTGGTGAAATGTTTTATCCACTCGGTATATGTCTTTGCTGAAAATTATGCAGTTGCTAGATAAAAAAATTGTTTTTTCATCAGATCCTTTGTGAAAAACTGTTTTCTCTATCCCAGCTGTGTACATGTAGATATCGATGTAACCTAATGATCAATCCTCCAATGTCCAGCAAAATAAAAAAGCTTTTATTCTACTGAAAAAAACTCCCTAGGCTAGCTTCGACCTCGGTCTCGTGAGACAATTTACACCCACACTCAATATACAGGTGCAAATGAAATCAAAGGCATGCTCTTAGAAATGTTAAGTAAACAGATTATAAGCTAGGTTTTGTTATTTTAGGGTCCCACATGAAGAAGTTTGTATCAAAGTTTCACTCTCATAGAACCATAAATAATAACAAAAAAAATATCGTCTAACCCAAAAAGGAACATACGTTACTGTCACAAATGCAAAACGTCCAACTGTGGAAACGTGATACCCACTTTGAATAATTCAATCATCACTGGTTTCGTTCTTTAATTTATTTCTTGTACGTATGACGTTGTAAAAATGATAATCTTCGGTATAGAGCAGTTAATTATTTTTAGGGACTTTGGCTGTCATTGAATATTATAAAAGGGGTGGGGGAATACACCCTACTGACAGTAAAATAAGTATTAAATAAACTGTTTTCCAATTGTGATCCCAATATTATATCAAAAATTTAAAACTATCATGGAATCACAATATATTATTCAGTCAGCAACATAAACCCCTGTTACCTATTGGACCAAGTACTGGGGCAAGATAAAACTTGCTGATTTTTTTTTCGGGGAAACATGCGTTACACAGGTACCTTTAAAAACATCCTTACGTCATATATAATTAACTATGACTAAATCACTGCAAAATATGTCGGAAAGTGAAATAAAATTAAATGGCCAAGTATAACAGGCACATAGGCTACGTTACCATTTAGGCTTTTTACATTATGCACAGACAAGGTAAAAATTAAATATAAATGTAAAATTGAGACAGACTTTTATCTATACACAGTTTTAAAAAATTGAATGCAACTTCGAATTCATTCAATTTTATTTTTTGATAATTCAGCATGTAAAATGCACCTCTATATTGGGTTTGGGTGTTTAGCTTCATGCTATAAGTTGCTTATAAATCTAGACGGTAGAATAATATACTTATATTTGATGTTATAAATTGCAAAGTATACCAGTATACATGTAGTATGCAATGGCTGCTGAGGGGACTTCCTGTCCCACTCATGCTCACTTAACTCTGGAGAAAACCTTTCTCCCTTCTCCTTCCCCCAAACAAAATGGAACAATACGCTTCTTAAGAAAATATAATAGTATACATGTCATAATCCTAGTCTCCAAATTCTACCATTTATCTGTATTTATGCCTGCTCAAAAAAGGACAGCCAACATTTTCTTCTCTTCTTTCATATTTCAAAGAAAAATTTTTATAGAGAAAGAAATATATTTTTAAAAAGCTTTTAAAGGAACACGACTAGTAAAAATTATAAATAACAAAAATAGCGATATGTGACAAGGTCCAGCTATTTTATGGTTAAACTGATTTTGCGTAATATTCTATTATTGCTGAGTGATGCTAAGTAAATATCTTTATTCCTGTGCCCCCTCCCTTATCTATTTTACACACACGCACACACACACACATTTCATTAAATTTATAGATATACCAGTGTTATGGGCAAAGTATAAAAACTGTATTTCACCTGACTGAAATTGACTGAAAACACCTCGTACGTAGGGTTTTATTTAACTTCTAATAATACAACACGAAACGGTAAGTTGATACAAGCTGATGGCAATAAATAAAGGATAAAAACTAGACGAGTTTCCACAAGCTTACCTCCCAACAAAAGCTCTAAACGCCCTACGTGACTTGACGTGAAGTCTCCCGCAAGGCGAGCGCCATCAAACCAAATGGGAGGGCTGTCGCGTTGTGCTGGAATATTGGGTGTATCAGCTGCAGTGAAGCGAATTCGTTGACCAGGCTGCCCTTTGGCTACCAGTCTTCCCCGGACACTCAAGGTGACCCCAGGGTCAAACGTAACAGTCACGCCAGGCTCTACCGTAAGCGTGATCCCCGGGGGAACGATAATCGAAGAATTGACGTAGAACGGTTGGTCACTACGTCGTAACGTCAAATCCGCGCTCGGTGAGGTGTCAATGACGGTGTCAGCGTTGGAAAAACTGAGACAAATCGTGAAAATTAAAGTAAAAGACAAGAGTGATGGAACACCCACCCCGGCTAGATCCATCTTTCACTTCCTTGTGAGCTAAAGGTACTCTATATAAACGCCGCCTTTTTTTTTTCATGTCGCACGTCAATCACTAACGCTGACTGGTAATCATAATAGAAGAATGGAAGAAAAGAAAACATTTCCACGCGATAAACATTCACACGCGATAAACTTCGAAAGTTGTGATTGAAAATGGTGTAATAGACTTACCGGGTAGAAAGGTATCAAGAAAACAATATGAAAGTTATCATATTAAACAGCAAAAGAAAAGAACATGTTCTATTTCAAATAACCTCGTGGAACTGGTAGGGCAGAGTATTGACGTTAAGTAAACTGTGTTAAATAATGGCTACTGAGCA